CTCTTCCCTCTCCAATGTAATGTTCCCTATGGAACCTCTTCCTCCTCTTGAGGGGAGAGCACAGAGGAGCCGTTTTCTCGCCCAGTCTTTGCGGGGAGGGGGATATGTGTGACAAAAATCACCAAACACCTGAGCCCCTCAGATACCCCCCCCAAAGGACCAGGTGGTTCGTGGGGCTCCCCGGCCTCCCTACAGGTGTCATGACGCCGGGTCTTGGCCACTTTTGAGTCTGCTGGAGGCACGGGTAGCAGAGACTCTTATTTTGAAGGGCGCCCGCCACCCCCGTGATTTGCACGCTGACCCAATGGCAAACCCTTGGCCGGAGCTGGGCTTGTTATCAATTACATGTTGTTCCTGCAGCCGTTGTGTCCCCGGGAGGATAAATTTGGGGGGAGGGAGGGGTGGAGGCGGGGCGGAGTCTGGTCGCCTGCCGGGGGACGGAGCCCAGAACAGCGCGTCCCCTCCCCCTGCATGCAGGCTGCGCCCCTGGCCGTGCCACGTGCTGCTGTGTTTTAGGGGCCAGAGCCGGCTCTTGCCCTGATGTGTTCTCTCTAATGCCAGTGCTCCTTTTAGGTTCTCAGTGCCTCGGCGTCCAGCCTAGGCCACTCAGCCCTACATTAAGACCTTGATGCCTGACCCTGGTGATTCTCTTCTAGGTCTCATTCCATCCCTCACTCCCTTACTCCCTTTTTAGATTTCCACGGCAGCACCTTTCACCCACACCATCAGCAAATTCTACAGGGTTCTGTTTTAGACTTGGATATAGAGGTGGACCTAACAGTCAGAACAGCTTATATTTTGGTGAGGAGGTAGACAGAAAATAAAATACATAAACACATAACTGAGTCTCTCCCCACCTCCCTACCCCCTCAGTGGCAGCTGCTAGGAAGATTATACTGTAGGATGATATAATGGAGGGCCGTCAGGGGAAGCCCCCCATCCCCCTCTCTGGGGGAGGGCAGTGACTTCTGAGCTGAGATATAAATATAGTACTCCCAGGTGGAGGGGGGCTGGTGAAGGGAAGAGGGATCCATGGAGAGAGACTAGCCAGGGTAGTGGCTTGAGGCCCATGAAGGTGGTGAGCTTGGTGCACAGCTAGTGCAGAATGGAGCAGATGAAGGTCTGGGAGAGATGGGTAGGACCCAGGTGCTGGATACTGGGAGGAGGCTGGGTCACATTTCATTGGGAAACTATAGGAGGTTTCTTCTCACCCCACCCTACTGTACTTATTTCCATCACTCCTTTTTTATATCATTTCTTCTGTGAATATCTCAGTTTATAGCTGGAAAAGGAAGGCCTCCTTTAAAAAGACTGTCCCAACCATAATACCATCATCACACTTAAAAATTTTAACAGTAATTCCTTGATATCATGGAATATTCAGTTGGTGATCACATTGCAGGGAAGACTTTTAAGTGGATAGGAATATGACCGGATCTGCCCCTTACCACCAGTCATGGCCTTTTCCTGGGTTCCTTAGCATCACAGCAGAGAGGCAGAAAGACCACTTATTCCTCTATTTGTAGGCTAATCCTAATGGCTGGTACTGACCAGCGCTTGCATGCGTGCCAGCCCTGTAATAAGTGTTCAGCATGTGTTAGCTCATTAGACTCTTAAAACCTAGGAACTAGGCGCTCTTAGCAGCATCCGCATTCAACAGACCAAGACAGACATAAAGACATTGTGCTCCCTGCTTGGGGTCATCCAGCAGATAAATTGCAGTTGCAGGAGCAGAGCCCACTGCTCAGAGGGCCAGTGACAGGGGTGGAGGAGGCTTTGGACCAAGTGTGGGCTCTGCCCAGCCTCATTGCCCTTTACATTATCTGGCACTTTCATTCCTTCTAGAACCCGATTTGATGAATAGTGTGTATTTAAAAAATCCTAGTTTTAAGTCCATAGCTGACTATTTAAAAGCCAAATGTTCTGGCAAAACTGCACTGGGGGCGTGTAGACTTCCCAAGGGCATTCACCTTGCCTTGTTTCCTGGAGCTCTGTGAAGCTTCCCAGATGAGTGGGGAACTGAGGTCAAAGGTCCTGGGGCCACTGGAGGCATGGAACAGTTGGAGAAACTGAGATTTGGGGGAGAACCAGGAGTTGCCCAAGGGCAAAGCTGATGATGATCCTGGCCTTGGGAGGTCTCTGCCCATAGGGCAGTGCTGGGCGGCACGCCCAGGATTGGTCCTGGAGACAGAGCACTGGGGCAGGTGCAGAGGTGATGCCAGACAGCAGAGAATCTCTGGCTTCAGGTGCAGAACATACCCCTCCCCAACCTCAGTAAACACCCAGCCGTGGTCACTGGGTTGGGACAAAGGTCCACAGAGGTAGCCCTGTCACAGCCTGACACTGTTGACTCTCTTTGGACACTGGACTTAGCATGGCCTTCAGAGGACACAGCTTTCCCCTCTCGGTTAACATTCTCTGAGTCCCTCCTGGGTACCAACTGCCACACTGAGAACTGGGGACACAGTGGACACCCTACAGCCCAGCCTGCCCTCATGGAGAGCATGGTCTAGTGGGGAGACTGGAGTTAGCTGGGCCATCTCGAGGTGGTGAGTGCTCCATGGGTGCAGGCCAAGGGGGCCTTCTCTACCCCCTCACTAGGCGGTTGTGAAGTCACATGAGGTAAGAACTATGACAGCAATGTGGGTTCTGGGTCCACCTCTGTTCTCCCGAGTTCTCCCCGTGGGCAGGGCCTTCTCCACCCAGTGGTAGAGCCTCAGTAAAGTGTCCATTTGTTCAGGCCTGTCCTGCCTCCCCCGTTCACAGAGGAGGCAGTCAAGCCCAGAGGGGTCTGAGAGCTGGAGGGTGGATAACTGCCCCCTTTAGATGGGGAAATAGGGCCTTCCAGGGCAGGCGCACTGGGTCTTTAATTTTTTGCCACAAACTAGACTTGGTCCATTAAAACACAGATCGTCCAGTTAAATTTGAATCTTGGATAAAATAATTTTTAATATAAGCATGTTCTATCCAATATTTAAGAATACTTATGCTAAAAGTTGTTCATTTTTTAAATCTGAAATTCACATTTAACTGGGCAGCCTCTATTTTTATTTGCTTAATCTGGCAACCTTACCCAAGCCCTAACAACACAAGGGTCAGAGGGCAAATGGCCATTTTTCTTTCCCCCTCCAGTGACTCAACAGGAATGAAGCTGAGGTCAGGTCCCCTCAGAAATGCAGTGACTCCAATGGACAGGGTTCCCTAGCCTTGGCTGTTCTGAGGTGCAGAGAACTTACTCACATATGCACTTTCTCACTTACACGCACTCACACTCAAATCATTCACAGGCACATTCATGTTCTTTCCCAGAATTGTTCTGGAAAATCTGTTTGAAAGCAAAAGTGCCCCAGGTTGTGCAATGTGCTTGGAGAGCACTCTTGCAAACAGGTGGTGCAATTTCGGAAAACACTCTTGCAGACAGAGTTCTCTTGAGGGACAGATTGAGGCAGGATCCAGGCATTTGGCATTGGGAGGCCATGGGCAGGTTGTGGTGGTGGGGCACAGGCCCATGAGGTGGCAAGTAAGTGTGCTGTCCTCCTGATTGGCCCTCCCCTGTTCCTTTCCACAGCTACCAACCGCTCAGCCAGGCCAGCATGGTGGATCACTTGCTTCCAGTGGACGAGAACTTCTCGTCACTGAAGTGCCCGGTTGGTTATCTGGGAGATAGGCTAGCAGGCGGGCAGGCATACCACATGCTGCCCTCACCCCTCTCAGAAGATGACAGCGATGCCTCCAGCCTCTGTTCCTGTGCCAGCCCCGACTCACAAGTCCTCTGCTCCTGCTATAGTGGTGGCCCAGGCACTGAGGGCCAAGACAACATCTTGGACTTCCTGCTGTCCCAGGCTACACTGGGCAGTGGTAGCAGCAGTGGCACTGGGGTCGGCAGTGGCCCTATGGCCTGGGAGGCCTGGCGAAGGGCACCGGCACCTGTGAAAGGGGAGCATTTCTGCTTCCCTGAGTTTCCTGTGGGTGACGCCAATGATGTCCCAAGGCCCTTCCAGCCCACACTTGACGAGATAGAAGAGTTTCTGGAGGAGAACATGGAGCCGGGAGTCAAGGAGGTCCCAGAGAGCAACAGCAAGGACTTGGGGGACTGCAGCCAGCTCTCAGCTGGGCCACACAGAAGCCATCTCCATCCTGGGTCTGGTGGGCGAGAACGCTGCGCTCCCCTACCGGGTGGTGCCAGTGCAGGTGACACCCAGGGTCCAGATGTGGGACCTGCATCTGAAGGCCCTATCCCCTTGCTGCTGCAGATCCAGCCTGTGCAGGTGAAGCAGGAATCAGGCACAGAGCCTGTTTCCCCTGGGCAGACCCTGGAGAGTGTAAAGGTAGCCCAGCTCCTGGTCAACATCCAAGGGCAGACCTTTGCGCTCCTGCCCCAGGTGGTACCCACCTCAAACTTGAACCTGCCCTCCAAGTTTGTGCGCATCGCCCCTGTGCCCATTGCCGCCAAGCCCATTGGGTCAGGACCCCTGGGGCCTGGCCCCACTGGCCTCCTCATGGGCCAGAAATTCCCCAAGAACCCAGCAGCAGAACTGATCAAAATGCACAAATGTACTTTCCCTGGCTGCAGCAAGATGTACACCAAAAGCAGCCATCTCAAGGCCCACCTGCGACGGCATACAGGCGAGAAGCCCTTTGCCTGCACCTGGCCGGGCTGCGGCTGGAGGTCAGTATGGCGGGTGACAGGCTGGGTGGTGAGTGCAGCCCATTCATCTCTGCTCCCCTAGATGTGTGGCCAAGGCTGAGTTCTCCACTGTTAGATGAGGCTGATTAGGAAGTGGAGAGGGGTGGGCAGGTTTCCTTGTTTCTCCTGATTCCTGAAGCCAAACCAATTGGTCTTCAGGTAAGGCTTGCTGGGGCTTATGTTGAGGGCGAGGGCCTGAGGCAGGGCAGAAGGGCTCTCATAGTCATAACAAGGACAGCTGAGAATGCTGGGGCATGGGCTGTGTGCCCAATGGGATTGCCACTGTGTGCACTGCTCCCTCTGTGCCTTGTAGTACCCTACAGGGTAAGTACTCCCATCTTACTGTTGAGCAAACTGAGGCTCAGACTGGCTAAGCAACTTGCCCAAAGTCACACTACTTTGTAAATGGGATTTGAACCCAGGGGGTTGTATCAGAACAGTCACATCCTGAAAATCCTGTTCCCTAATCAGAGGGACCAGCTTCACTTAGAGATGTTCTTGAGTCTGTGGGCTGGGCCTGGCCCTTGTTCCCCACTGGGAGAGTGGGGGTGTGTTGCAGAAGCTACAAAGGCCAACCACAAGGGAGGACCTGGCTGGAGTGCTAACCCAAAGGTGGAAGACTCCTTCCAGGCTCTACTCTGTGTGGCACAGGGAGAGAAACCAACTCTCAAAGGACAGGGCTCTTGCCAGGGTTACCCAGTCCGAGGGCTGCACAGCTAGATGGGACCCCCATGGATCACCCTCTCCTGGGCCTTGGGTGAATGTCCACCTTTTCCTGAAAAGCAAGCAGCTGGCCAGGAGCTCAAATGCTCACGTACATTACAGCTGGGCTCTTCCCAGTTTAGGACATCCACCTCATTGGAATATCTGGCCTGCCTGGGAGGGTGGCTTGTGCTACTGGCACATTCCTAGGCTTTGCTGCTGTGGCTGCTGCTACATGTGTGAGTGTGTGAGAGAGCGACATGGCACGCTTGTCTGTGCAGAACCAGATCTTGCAAGCAGCTGTGTAGCTGTGTATGTGCACATGTATGTGCATCTTGCTTTCTTCATATGTGTATCCATGTGTTGCATGACCATATGTGTCTGTGCACCTTATTCATTCTTGCGCGTCTGTGTTGGTGTGGCACATGGGGCCATTTGCAGCTCTGGTTTTTTTGACCAGACTCTCATTTGAGAGCACATGAGAGTTGGTCTGAGGATGGAAGATGCCACTCCTGGAGTCCTGGCTGGCCATGATGGGATCTGTGCCTGGAATATTTGATGTGATGCTGGCAGCCCCTTTCCATGGAGCGCTGAGCCGGCCAGGGAAGGCACTTGTTCCAAAGAGCATCTTGGGTTATGAAGGCTCTTCCTGAGTGAGGGCATCCTTTACCTCCAGTGACCCAAAAGTGCCCATCAGCAGACCCACATGGCTCTGTGAGAGCCTGTGCCCCAGCCTCATAACGCTGGGTGTCAGTACTTGAGTTGCATGCCTCTCTGAGCCTTGTGCTGCAGTCTGCCAAGTGGGCCCTGAGGTAAAGGTTTACTTGCAGGGAAGCTTGTAAGGCCTGGCATAGTAGCATATGTGCAGTGTTGGGTGGTCAGAGTTTGGGGTGGGGAGAAGCCTAGAGACATGGGGCCTTAGAGGCAAGTGCTCAGCTGCAGAAGGGAGGGGCACTGAGACACCTTGGTTGGGGTGCCGCTGGTAGCAGTAGTCAGAAACCTCAGTCCTGGTCAGCCTCCAACTTATTGTGTGCCCGTGGAGTGGTCCCCCTGCCCAAGCCTCAGTTTCCTCATCTGTAGAGGACCTGCTTACTACCGCTCCCTAACAGCAGCACCCACTTCTCATCAGCGGTATTGTCATTCTCATACAAGGTCATAGTCTGAGAAAGGAAGATATTCTGCCCAGCCTTCACATGGGTGGTACCCCATCTCAGAGGTACCCCCAGACTCACAGGGACTCCTCTTGGATGCATTCTCCTCTTGGTGGGGGATAGGACTAGGGAGAGGTTGGGCAGCTAGCTTGGCAGAGCACCAGTCCGACTCTCATGATGAACTCATCTTCCTGGGCACTGTCCCCTGGCTGCTGCTGACAGTTGGCAAGTGGTCCCTCCAGTTGGGGTAGGGCTAGGTGGGGCCACAGAGAAGAAGGATGTGGTCCTTGGTGAAAGCTGCCCACTTGGCCCACTTCCCAAGGAGGAGGGGCCCTGGCTTCTTCCAGGCTGTCCTAGAGAGCAGATGGGACCCTCAGCCCAGAGTAGGTCTTAGGGAGGCAGATTCAGCTTCTGACATGTTGGCCTCAGGAGGTAATGAGTTCCCCATGGCAGGAGGTATGGAAACAAGTGGGGTTTGTGTAGGGGATTCACCTCTGCCACTGTCTAAGCCCTGGCCCTGGTCATCTTGCTCAGGACCCACTTGGCAGGGAAAGGCATGGTGGGTACCTGGCGTGGTGAGGTCCTTACAGAGTTGACCATGGAGCCACTCCTGTCTCCAGCCACTCCTAGGGCATCAAAGGGCATTCCCCGCTTCTCCCAAGGTCTTCCAGAATGGAGTCCGGCCTTGGTGAGGTCACACATGGCAGAGGCCCTGCGAGCCAAGGGTGCCTACTGAGGATTTGAGAGTCCCCAGTTGGCCTTCAAAGATCCTGAACCCCTGGGGATGTACACAAGATGTGCATGTTCCTTAAATGTAGCTTTGGCCTTCAACTGAGGGTCAAGAGTGGAGGGCGCCCTTGCAATAGTTGGGCAGGAGTACAGACCCAGCTTTGGAGCAGCTTGACCTGAATAGGACGGAGGAGCAATGATGATGATGACAACGAGGTGTCATTGTCATCTGTATGCTAGGCTCTATTCTAAGGTTCTAGGAGTTGGAATCCCCTCCACAATTCCCCACACTTGCTTGCATACCTCCTGCCACAGGAACTCATTACCTCCTCAGGCTACTCTGGCCTTTATGTGTACTTTGGTATGCTTCAATTCCTATTCAAACTTCTCATTCTGGTCCACTTGCCTGCACAATCTGCTCACCGACCTCCCCTCCACAGGACAGGTTCCCATTCGGGCCTCGGCCCTCTCTGTGCCCTCTGTCTCCAGTGCTTTCCCATTAGTGGTGGCTATAGTTGGTCTTATGATGGTCCCTGCTTTATTCCTCAGACATCACAAGCATTAGCTCACTGAGGTCTTACAATAGCCTTGGAACGAGTGGGCACTAGTTCGCATTTTACAGAGGGGAAAACTGAGGCCCAGAAAGCCTGCAGGGACAGCACTAGCAAGTATGGCTCTGGATGCACTGCCAGATAGCACCTCAGCCCCATCCTGACCCTGGGAGCAGTTTGGTAGGCATGCCTTTCTAGCCTGGAGATGCCTGCAGGTACAGGCTGGCTTTCCCCTCATTTTCTCTCCCTGTCTGTCTGGTATTATAATGGCTGGGTATCCTCTCCTCCCCACAAGGCCCTCGGCTCTTTCAAGTGTTATGCCATGGCCTAGGGGAAAAGAGCTAACAATAGCAGCAGGGATGATAATAGTAGCTCCTGATGTGTGCTAGGCACTGCTCTGAACGTGCCAAACTTGGTAACTTATGTAATGCTCTGAATAAGTCCATGAGATAGGCATCAGTATGTTGTCCCCATTTTACAGAGAAGGAAATGAGGCACAGAGCATTTAAGTAAGTTATCCATGGTCACATAGCTAGTAGGTGGCAGAACCAGGAATTTACCTTGGGCTGTCTGCCCCACCCCCCAAACTCAGGCTCTCTCTCCAACTCCCTCTGCAAGCCTCCAGTACGGGGGTGGGGGTGAGGTGGGGGTGAGGTGGGGGGATGGCCTGCTCAGGTGTTGAGAGGATCTCTACCTGCAGCCGGTCTTTGGGGTGGCAGCTGTGCATGCTTGCTTGCCTCCCTATGTGAGGAGCTCCTCACTCCCAAGGCCACTTCTCCTCTTCCTACTGGCCCTGGTGAGCAGTTTCCTCTTACTCCTACCAGGCTGGTTCTGATCCTGGCACTGTGTCCTGGGCCCCATCCTGTTAACCTTTGTATGATGAACGATGACCCTCCCCGTACCCCCCACAACCCCATGTTGTCACTTGTACAGGTAACCAGCCTCCACTTTCTTCTGCTCTTGGTCCTGAACCCAGTGTTCCCTCTTGTGACGTGGTTCCTGCACCCTTGGCAGGGCTGAAACCAGACTTTCCCTATTCTGAACTAACTGTCTGGGAAGTGGCTGTTTGCCTGCCTTCCTAGAAGTTTCCTTATTTCACTCTCAGACACAGGCGTCCTTTGTTCCCTGCAGTAGAACATCCTGTTCCAGAATTGCTAGGCCGTTCTGTCCAGAAAGAATCCCCTCTTGCTACAGCTAATATGAATATTAACTTTCAGCAGCCCTGGTGGCAGGTACTGTTTTCATCCCCAGTGGACACAGGAGATCCAGAAAAGGGGAGGTACAGGCCTGAGGCCACAGAGCCAGAAGGTGGCAGGGACAGGATTCAAGTCCAGTGGTCCAGGGCTGGCCTGCTCTCTTGGCCTATTCCAGGGCTAATCTCTACTCAATGAGGCATCCTCTGACTCCATTCCCGCAGTCAGCAGAGCTCCTAAGTGTGGTTGAACAGGTTGTGCACTGTACAACTCTAGGGGGTGCCATTCCTGTTGCAGTCCTTGAGACTTGACTGTTTACAATCATGGCTTTCGGGCTAATGGAAGGGGTGTCATCTCACAAAAGTGCTGTGTGTGCCAGTGGTGGTACTGATGTTACAGGCTGCTCAGCAGAGTCACCTGGACTCCTGTGTTTCCCTGTCCTACACCTCAGCAACATGAATCGGAGTAATGACCCACACACTCCAGGACCTCACCAGGCCCTTTGCTAAGCTCCTTGCAGGTATCAAGAGCTCACAATTATTGGATAATTGCCATGTGCCAAGCACTGCTATAAACACTCATTGCCTTTTATAATCTCCTGATGCAGATCTATCATTTCCCTATCTCCAGGTGGGGAAACTGAGCCTCAGAGAACTTGGTGGCTTGCACAGGTCACTACTGAGATACAGAGGCTGCATCTCAGCTACTTGGTCCCACCCCCATGTGGCCCCCAGACCCCTCTGATAGCTGCCCTTTGGGACAGTGTGGGTAAGGGTGTGAAGCAGGAATCTTCTGAGGGTTCACTTCCCAGGGACGGACCCCTCAGGCTACAGGACCCTGAGGCAGCAGGGAGGGGACTTATAGGTGGGGACACCTTCTTAAGCCTGGTTCTCCCTTAGTGCTCCGTGATTAGAGGGTCACTTTGAAAAGTTCTGAAAGGTGGACAGAAATCCCAAGGTTTTTGTTGGATAAGTGAGGAAACTGAGGCCCAGGATGGTTCTTGAGTTTGCTCAGGACTGTGCAGGGCTCCTGGTGGGGTGGGGACTTGAGCAGATCCTGCTGTCCTTTGGCTGTGTGACTCCCGCAAGCCCGTTGTCCTTTTTGAGCCCTCGCTGTGGTATTATTAGTCTGACAGGGCTGACCCTGGCTCCCCAGAAGGTGTATGTGCCCTCAGCGCCTGGTGCACAGGAAGGCTCTGACACTGCCAGTGGCATTTTCTGTAGCTTTCTGCTGACCCCTGCCTTGGGCAGGCCCACCTGCTCAGAAGCTGTGTGCTTAACGCTCTGGGCAGGTGGCCTTGGCCAGAAATCATAAGTCCAGGCTCCGCCAGGGTGTGTTGATGTCACTTCCTCCTTGGCACAGGGCTCCAGTGGCATACACCACCCAGCTAGGCTGTGTGGATGAAGCCAGGCCCTCTGTGGTCACCAGGGTGGGCAGGACATAGCAGGGAACTGTGCCAGGACCTTTGCTCTGGCCTCAGCTGTGCTGTCCTGCCAGTGACCCTGGATCAGGCCCTCATCATTCTGAGCCTCAGTTTCCTCATCTGGTAAACAAGCAAATTGGTCTTCCTCTGTTCCAGAAATATGCTGAGAGCACTGTTCTGTCCCAGATACAGTTGGCGCTCTGTGATGTTAGGCGGAAGAAACCCGACCATGCCCTGGGGTCAAGGCCCTGGGTGCCAAGGGCTACTGAGCCAGACTGAAGCGTTTGTCCTCCCGGCCTGGCTCCCTGTGTGTGCTCGGGTCCTCCTGCTGCTCACCTGAGCTTTCCCCGGAGCTTATTCTACTGTGTCCTGCTCCTTGGTAGGCTGTGGGATTGAGGCCTCCACCCATGTGGTCAGGCCAGAGGTGGGCCAGCAGCCCCTACCCATAGACTGGGTTGGGGACAGCTGTTCCAGGGATACCACCCTACCTACCTCTTGCTGTGTGGCCTCAGGACAGGGGCTTTTGGGCCTGATACTCCTGTGTGTGTGCATGTGTGTGTTCATGTAGGTGCATGTGCATCCCTGTGTATGATATGTGCATGTGCATACATGTATGCACTGTGGAATGGAGTGCACACGCATACACACGTGTGTGCACATGTGCGCAGTGCACCCATGTCCATGGCGTGTACATGTATGTGGTATGTGTGTCCATGTGAGTATCTATGTGTGAGTCTCTGTGGCATGTGTATACATGTGGGTGCATGCATGCACTGAGACTGTCCCTGTGACAGCTCTGTATCCTCTTGTGGGTGCCCCTTGTGTCTACTCTTTCATATAAATGCACTTACTAGGACCTACCATGTACCAGGCAGACATGTCTTTCCTCATGGAGCTGACAGTCTAGTGGCACCCAGACTGACATTCATCAAAAAGTTGAAAGTACATTTAAAATTGCAGCAACAATGGTAGGGGCATTGTGTTGTGGGAACCTAGAATGGGATGCTGTCCTGGAGGGCTTTCTTGAGGAAGTGATATTTGAGCTGGACTCTAAGGAATGGATGGGAGGGAGCAAGGAGAAGGGGGAAGGGAAAGCATTCTGGATAGAGGGAGCAGTATGTGCAAATGTCCTCTGGCAAGGAGGACCAAGGACAGGCCAGTGTAGGTGGAGCACAGAGAAGAGTATATGTATGTGTAGCGAGTGGGGTCTCATTGCCAGGACCAGGGTCATGGGGTGGACAGAGCCCCAAATCCCTGAAGTCAGTGTCAGCCTGAGCTTTGTGGTCCAGCTCAGTCCTTACCTCTCTCATTAGCAGTTGCTCCTTCCCAGCAGCCTCTGGACTATAGGAGCACTTGCCTCTGGGCAGGCTGAGGCCAAGAGAGGGAAGTAACAGGGGAACTGTTTAAACTCTCAGAAGTACCTCCAAGGGGTGCAGTTTTGTTTGGGGACATCTTAGGGGGCCCAGCTTTCAGGAAAATAGGGTCTGGGAGTGGGATGGGGCACAAATCTGAGGACCCTGCCTCTGCTTTTATGGAGGCAAGAGAGAGGAGGAGGAGCCAGGAACTCCCTGCAGAGCTGAGAAAAGAGATACCTCTCCCAGGCCTCAGTTTTCCCCTCTGGTTAGACTTCTCTGTTCAGACCTCTACAGAAGCCCCCCAAGTTCTGGCCTAAGGCGGGAACATGAGGCACAGCCACAGTCAGGACAAGGATGATCTCACTGCACACTGTGGGGTTTGGGGATTGGGGATGGAGAGTAAGTCAGGACTCTGGTTGGCTTGAGAGCCTGTCCCAATATTTGCCAGTTGCTCTCAGGCCCTGATGCATGAGATTAGCCCCCTCTGTGCTAGTAGAGCCTTTTATTTGCAATTCTTGCTATCCTGAAGGGGTGATGGGGACATGGAGGAGGGGGACTCAGGACAGTGGATTCAGAAGCAGTTTGATAGGTGAAGCACTGCAGGGCCACCCTGCCAGGCTGGCAGAGCCCTGGGGATCTGCAGCTGGCCTGAGGGTGGGGTGGGGGGTACGGGGTGGATGGGGGGCAGGGCCAGCCTCGCTGACCGCAGTGTCCTGTAGGTTCTCACGCTCAGACGAGCTGTCGCGGCACAGGCGCTCACACTCGGGAGTGAAGCCCTACCAGTGCCCTGTGTGCGAGAAGAAGTTCGCACGGAGTGACCACCTGTCCAAGCACATCAAGGTGCACCGCTTCCCCAGGAGCAGCCGCTCAGTACGAGCTGCCAACTGAGCCCCCTCACCCTGACCCTGCTCCCTCGGATAGCCCCAATATTTTGTAGCAATAATTTATTTGCACCCTTCAGAGGGACATGACAAGGTTATGATCCCACCTTCTGAAGCCCGGGTGGGGTGGGTACAGGACAAAGGGGGCTGGCCCGGGAGGCCAAAACCCAGAGCCCCCTCCTACTGCCTTTCTTGGGGAGACCCAGCCCCCAACCTAGAGGCCATCGTTTGTGCCTTCACGCCTTCGCCTTCGTGCCTTCCTGCGTGCCCACTTCTGCTGCAGTGGCCTGGGGGGCCTGGCCCTTCTTCCACTGGGCTCCCTGCCGGGGCCAGGGCCAGTGCCAGCACTTATTGCCCAGGAAGATGAAATGTGCAGTTTTGAAATGTCAGATCCCAGAGGGAGCCACGCTGGGAAGGAGGAAATAGGCCAAAAGTCCTAGGCTGCACCGTGGCATGTGGGTAGCTTTGTCCAAGATGCCTTGCTCAGCCTGACTACCAGAAGGTATGGGCAGGGTGGCTAGGAGTGCAGGACCTGGCTTCTGGGTAGCTTCGAGATTGAGGTGAAAAGGCCCCCCTTGGTGGTGGTTGTGATGGGGGGTTGCTGACAGTGCATGTGCTTGAGTTAAATGTGCAGGGCGGGCAGACAAATGTAGGCTTGCCCAGGATTGTCTCTATCCAGCGTGGCTCATCCCCTTATCCTGTTTCCAGACAAATTCAGCCTCCAGGGTTACCTTTGGGAGGAGAGGGGAGCAGGCTGCAGTGCATGTAGAAGAACCAGATAGAACCCCCCAATCCTGATTTAGAGATGCATTCCTTTTTTTTGTCTAGAAATTAATATCAAATGAACTAGCTTGTTTTGACAGGTTTATTTCACATCCTATGAATGTATGTAAATAAACTGTACATAGGTACATCTACATAAAATATCTTTTAATAACATATCAGCATTTATGTAAATTTGAAATTTTGAAAATCTATAAAGCTGGTGTACATATGTTACAATTATGTATATTTTCTTTGGTCCTTCATAAAAATATATTTACTTTGCCAATAAAAGGAAAAAAGAACTCAATAACTATGACATTCGTGTGCTGTTTTCCTCCACTCTGCAAGGAAATAGGGGCATTTCTAGGGGCCGAGTCTCAGGGGACCTTGGTTTGTACCTGAAGGGATACAAAGGCCCTTTTGGGGTCAAACGCCTGGCCCAGACATACAGGCTTCCTACACAGCCTCACTTTAGGCTGCCTGCTGGGTGTTTGCTCATTCCAGTTTTCTGGAGGGCAAATAGCTCCCTCTCCTTTTGGCTGTACAACCTCAAATCCAATCCCTATGCCAGTGTTACCTGTGGGACGCCACCATGGGCCAGGCCAGGCCTACAGGGGTCACTACTCTGATTTACTGTTGGAGACTTGCTTGACACTTTGCACTTCCTACCCTCTGTGCAGTCCATCAAGCATTTATTGTGCAGCCACTGAATGCACTGTGTAGGAGTGGGAGGATCAGATAATTTCCGCTCCAGGACTTCCCTAGGTAATGACATGTTACTTCCCACTTGCATGGCTGATCATGAATGGATTAGGAGTCTTGACCAGACAGATAAGACTCGGAGGGCTGGTGTATGGAGTTTGGCCACCGCCTCCATCCTCCCCTCCTACTCAGAGCTTTGGGGAGACAAAGCTTCCCCAAACTCCCCAGATGCTTGAGATCTCTCTGAGCACTTGCATAGTTAGAGCACTTGCACATCTTGGGCAGGCTGGGAGCTAGGGTGGTGGGGACCAGAGAGCCAAGAGAGGCTATGGACAGGGAAGGCCAGACTCAGTGGCTGTGGTTCTCCTGTGATGTTAAGTGGCAAGTGAGGACCTTCCAGAGGTGGTCCTCTCTCCAAGAGCCTGATGCAAGTTGGGGCAAGTATTTCTCAGTGATACCCTCAGAGACTGGCCCTGGTCTTGGGTAAAGGATTCGATTTTGTAACTTCTGCCCATTGCCCCTGACCAGATGTACCCTCTGTGGCCAAACATGCCCTGGGGAAGTTAGGCATTGATTTCTAGGCACGTTAACATAGCCTCTCTGTCCATAAACAAGCAATGCTGCCTAGATAAGAGGGACACTAGAGGTCAGGACAGGAAACTGTGAGCACATGTATCCATGGTGCAGGGTACTAATCTGGGACACCACTCCTTTCATCTTAGTGGATGTCCCCAACAGCCCATTTACTCTGAGCCTGCAGGCCCCAGCTGACTCTATGTCTGGGCCAAGACTAGGCTGGCGGTGTGTGGTGGAGAGATCTGGCTCCAGACTCCTCATCTGATGAGTGTGTTCACATTCTTGCCATGAGCCTTCTTTGGGTGGGCAGTACAGCAGAGTGAGAAGGGTGTGAAGGGAAGGGCTGTGAGTGAAGGGGACTGCCTCTTGATCCTTGCTCCCCCCACTTTGGGTGGGTTTCTTAAACTTCTTTGGATTTGAGCTTTTACACCCAGCAGAACAGGGATGAATGAATATTCCCAGTTCATAGTATGGTGGTGAATGGTAAATGAGAGTACATGAGTGACTTTGAACAGCAGCAAAGACCCTTTCCAGGATGTGAGCCTGCCTCCAGGCCAGATGGAGAGCCTGGGTAGGCAGAGCCTCTGGTCTTCTGCTGCAGCCAGTGCCACTGCAGTGGGACTAGCTTGTCTCCTGCCTCTGGGAGACCCCCATGCCACCACCTTTGTAACCCTTTGTTACTTTTGTGGCTGGAAGAAGGGTGTTTGTCTTGGCCTGACAGCCAAGAAAGCAGGTAGTGATGTGAGCCAATGGGCCCACAACTGTTTGTAATAGAGGAGGATTCTGGAAGGTTGTAGACCAGAAATCTAGCCTTAACACCCTGGCACCCGCCTTGCATGATACCCCTTCCTAAAGACACACAGAGGGGAGGGAAGTACCATTTATTGAGCATCGTATCATGCAAAATATAGGCTGCCATAACAAAGAAACCTCCAAATACCATGGCTTACACAAAGTAGAAGTTTTTTTCTATTTAAACAGTCTGAAAGAAAGCTGTCCAAGCTAATATGGTGGCTCCAGTGTGGGGCACCTGGGCTCCTCTCTCGTTGCCCTCCGTGCCCTAGGATGTTGGTCCATGATGGCTCACCAGGGTACTGGGCCAGCCTGTGGAAAGCTGGTGAGGGGCCGTGTATTCCCTCCCTCCCTGTGAAGGCATGGGCTGGGATCTGCACAGGCCTGTCCACTCATGTCCCATTGGCCAGAACATAGTTCACATGGCCTCATCTACTGCAAGGAAAGCTGGAAAATGTGTCATAATCTGAGAGGTTACGAACGCAGTTAAAATTTGGGGGTTCTATTCCAGGAGAAAAGAGGAGAGAGTAGGAGTTGAATTTCCATGGTAAGCAAACCTATTGTGGTCTGGCCCCAAGCCTGGTGCCATACACACGGCATGCCATTCACCTCCCAGAACCTGGCAGATAGGCGCCCGCACAGCATGCACAGGTCATGGTGGAGCTATGTGGGTTCAGCTCACCCATAGCTTTGTCCACATTCTTGGAATGGGTGACACTGGCAGGTATGAGACCAAAGATCAGGCTTCCAGGATCCACAGCAGGTTATCATGAAGGGAAACCCTGTGGGAACGGAAGAGCTATGACACTTTGGCAAACCAAGGCTGCAAGTGACAAGATCCTGACTCATAGGACAAAAGTAAAGACAAAACCCTTATAAAGCCATTCGTGTCTACTCTTGAATAAGGCCCAGAATCCTAATAAGTGCCCATGGAGATCGGGAGACAGAGCAGAAAGACCTGGGGTCAGGGCTTTTAGGGAACTGTAACTATTCTTATGCTCCGTTGGTTCAGAGTATCAAAGGCCTGGGCAGTGGGTATAAGGAGAAACTTCTGGGAATGGGCATGTTAACCTGCCCAGCTGTCAATGTGATGAGGGGCTTGGAACATCACATAAAGGGACCGAGGATGGGGACAAGATCAGTCCTCTCTGTGACAAATACCAAGTCTAAGCAGACTTTGCTTTATTTAAAGTTAGGTAAAGATGACTAATGCTATGGAGCCTGTTAAAAGACTGCAGATAGAGGCAAAGGGGGCAGCATTCAGAAGACTCAAAGAAAGTGCATACCTCAGTGATCCACGGCAAGACCCGGAAAAGCATATTTGGAAATTTCCTGTTATCTCTGACAGGTAAAAATTTCCTTGTGGCTCCTGGGAGGCCACAAGGGGGTCCTGGCTGAAATAGAAGAGTGACAGGACCGGGTACAGAAATGGATAGAAGGGATGAGAAAATATCGCAAGGGAACAAAATCCTCAATAGCAGAATTAAAATCTTCCTTGGAGACAGCAGGGAAGGGATAGGTGGGGCAGGCTTCCAAGAGCTGCTATAGAGGACAAGCTCACATGGTTCTTCCAGAACCTAGGCAGGAAGGAAGGATGAAAATGGAATAGATAGGTGTGGAGGGCAGAAAATATAAAACCAGTAGCTGGGTACTGGAGTTTCCTGATCAGATTCCAGAATAACTAACATATATACTAATACTGTACATAACATATGTAACATATTTAACATACTAATGCATATAATTATAATACAATGATATAATACATCACTAAATAATATAATATACAATTATAACTATATACACACATGGTGTAAGTGGAGGACTGGGAAAATACCCCACCCACGGAGGGGAGGCGAGCATAGCAGGTGGGTCTCGGAGGCAGAAACTTGGAATTGAGCCCACATAAGCCTTGTTGGCCTCTCTGAACCTCAGGGTCCTAATGTAAAACCAGTATGACTACACTGATCCCCTAGGCTGTGTGAAGACAGAGTAAGTTCGCATTTTGGAAATAGCAGACTCGTTGCATAATGGAGGAGAGGTGACAAGCTATGAGGCAGAAAGGAGAAAAATGCAAAAATCAAAGAAGTGCATCCCACCAGAGGAACGTATCTGAGATAAAGACTGGGAATCTCAGACACAGCTTGCCCCCCATGAAGTCAGGCCTACCCAGGAAGGGCACCTAGGGGCCTTGCAAGGAGCCTTTCATGGAGTGAGGTCTGGACCTTGAGACCAAGTAAGCTTCCAAGTAAGCTCAGTTCATCTGCTCTAACTCTGGGAGCTTTGGAAGCCTGAGGACCCACTGGCACAGCCATTCCTACCTGTTCTCAGCATCCAGTTCTGTGAATTGGGCCTTGACTCTGAGCTGAGCTAATATTGAAAAACATGAGAGCAGTGTCAGGATAGGGTGGTACTGGTACTGGCGAGGAGTGGGATCGCCACAGCTCTCATCAAAAGATTACATCAGAGACATCAGCTACCTGAATGAGAGATGAGAAGAATGAAGAGCCAGCTCAAGAGGAGGGCAATCAGAGCTGGAAATGTCTGACTACAAGAGCGAATATACGTTTATGTAGACATGAGTCTAAAGTATGGCAACTGAGTTTTAAAATCTAAATACAGATGCCAAATACGGTTACAGAAAGAGAAGAAAGGTTTGCAATGTACAAGTAATAACATAATACCAGTCTGGCTCTAAACACCCAGATTGTACAAATAGACTAGCAGTTGTGCAAACGCTCGAAGTGTCTCTCTGAGGACTTTCCTTTTTCCCAGAGAAGTCTTTGCCTTTTAAAAGAACAGCTTAGACTAGGCACACTTCTTGATATCTGATTTTGTATTTCCCCCTTCCCTGAGAAGTCTCTGGTGCAAAAAATGAAGAAATTACGCTGAGTGCCTCATTTATATGGGATCAATTGGTAACTGGTTGAACAGCTGTCCCCAGAGGGCTCAGCTGGAAGGAGGAATAAGGCCACATGTCTGGTCCTATAACAAGTGGTCATGGGTGCTCCTCATCCCACTGAAGCCTTGGACAAAAAGTAGACACTCACACTGGCTTAGAGCTGCTGGCAGGACAGATAAGTGGACGACTGCTCCCTCAGAGGACACCCAGGACCCATGAATGCACCATGCAGAGGAGTTCTGGGTCCCACTTTGGGGCTGAAACTGTGGCCTTTCTGTGCGTGTCGGCTCGAGGGAGGACTTGGGGGTGGTGACATGGTGAGTGGTAGGAGCTCTTCT